AAAAAAAATCAATTTTCAGTTAATGATATAAACCTAATACATTTCTCAAACAAATAAAACAAGCCCTTTATGAAATACTTCGAATACCTGCGATTTGGGCCATACTTCGAATCTAATAATAAGCCTAAAGCTTGTTCAGGTGTTAAAACTATTAATACACCGGAGTCTGATTTCAGTGGTGACTGTTGCACAACCCTGGACCCTTTGCACAACTTCGGCAATGTAGAAGCAACTTGAGGTGGCCCTGTAAAGAGTAGGTTCTATAAGTAACTGGAAGTATGTTGATTGCTGCCTAAAATAAAATCTTCCTGCTGTGAATACAGTTTTTCAACAAGGTTCTTTGTGTGTGTGTGTGTGAGTGTGTGTGTGTGTGTGTGTGTGTGTGTGTGTGTGAGAGAGAGAGAGAGAGAGAGAGAGAGAGAGAGAGAGAACAGAAACTTGATCGTTTTCTATGCAAGGTACTGGGTAAAGCCATATTTTATTTTGTAAATTGTTTGGAAAGGGAAGAATCTAAGACCACTGAGATATAAAAAATAAAATAAAATTGGAGATAGCATAGCCTGGAACAGAAATGACTTATTACTTGGTTGTCTCAGCAGTAGCGAAAATTAGGTTTAGAATTTGCACATGTCTTGTTTTTTACTTGGGATCTCCTGTGGATTAATAAAGCAATATGCAGGGAATAATGGGGCTACAGATATGAGCAAGCTGGTACTCTGTATGACATTTGTCCCCATGCCACATCAGTTCTGTGCTTTAAAGGAAGGCACTCCTTTCTTGGCATTCTGTTGTGACCTAGTTCAGGCACTGGACTGCTGACACTGGACTGTAGAGTAGCACTTTGCCCACACTCCACTTCAGCTAGTACAGTTTAGCATGAGCTTAAGTTCCTGAAATACCTGTGTCAAGAGACAAACCCCTGCTCATTCATGCCTTTGCCTTTTTAGCTTGACCCTCAGTGAACTCTAAAATACCTGCCTGTTCTTCTGGCATTCTTTCCTACTGCATCTCCTTCTCTTGCCTGTGATGCCCAATGGCTAGTTTTTGAAGATTGCCTTGGTCCCTCCTCCTCCCTCTGACTTGGCCTGTATTCTGCCACAGTCTTTCCCTATGAAATTTTGTTAGTCTTTTAATAAAAGCCTTGCCCAGGTCTTTCAAATGCTTGCAGAATCAGCATATCTTGACCTCATATATGCCAGTGTTCTCCAGTTAGTACTGACTACTTATTTTCTGGATTATATTTCTCAATTTGTGTCATTTTTTTCTGATATTAACTCCAGATTGATTTTTATAGGTATTTGTATAGGCATCTGTGTTTGCTTCTGTACTTCTTGAGGGTAGAAAAGGTGTTCTCTGTGGCTCTGTACTTTAGAATGGAGCATTTATTGTGCATATATGCAGAAAATCCTAAACCCTGCAGTTAACAGTTGTTTCTAGAGAGGAGGGAATTCAGCTTATATTAGGAAAGTTGGTGTTGGTGAAATGGTTTTCTGTACTTTTTCTGATTTTGTTGCTGTTTTTGAGACAGGGTCTAGGCTGGCCTGGTACTCTGTACCCTATTTTGGCCTCAAGCTTGTGGGAGTCCCCCTGCTTCAGTCTCTTGAGTGCTGGAATTATAGGCATATATCACCATGTCCAGCTATCCTCCAAATTTCAGTATTGTAATGTTTTATTTGTTTATCCTATAAGTTTTAACATTGTACTATTAGGGTCCAGGTGTTCGCCCTTTGTGTGTGCTCCCACCAAATTTCCAGATGCCTGTCAGTTTTGTTGTCGTCGGTGATTTCATGTTGCTGAGTGTTTGGGGAAAGTTTTCAGTTAGCAATAATCATTCCTTGAACAAACCTCATGGGTTGCTACTATCCTGCCATGCACAAAGCTTGTGCCATCTGGTGTCTCTGCTCATCCTCAGTCTTGGAGGCCCTGTCCTTACTGCAGAAGACATGGAGCCTCCTCATCTCGTCTCTAACTTCTAATTTTCTGTTAAACCTTCCCATTTGATTTTATCACTTTGCTTATTTACAAGCTTTAAAATAGACTACATTTTAGCTGTTGCTCTTTGTTTGTAAGTAAAAGATGTTTGCCAAAAGGATGTTGGATTCCCTGAGTTGCCACAGCCAGATAGTCACTTCCTGTTACTTCCTGCACCCCTTTTCTTACTCAGACCCCTTCTCTTCTGAAGATGTTTTACTGGTTCCATAGTGGCTTTTTATTCTTAAAAGTTTGTGTTAGCAGAAGTAGTACTTTAATACACCTATCCTGGTCAGTGGCGGTCCTTTGTAATAGATTTTTGAATTGGTTTTTCTTTTGTTGCTGATAGACTTTCCGTTTTGGGTTGGTTTTTTTGTTGTTGTTTTTAAGTACTCCCTGTGGAATACCAAGACTAGGTTTATATGGACTTGCCTATTGCATTAGTTTTCTAGCACTTTCTAGTTGGTGATGCCGTAAAAATTCTTCACGCTATTTATAGTTTCTATAATAAGTAATATCAGTGCCATGTAGCTTACCCTTAGCCCTTGGTTTGGGAAATTTTTTATTTGATTTTATTGCTTATTTATTTATTGAGGTAGGATCTCACTACATAGCCCAAGCTGGCCTCAAATAATTCTACTCAGTACTGGGATTACAGGCTCATCTAGTCCTTAGTCCTTGTGTTGAATTTTTCTTGGGTAGGGGGATCTTGGTTTGGGTTTGTTGTTGTTTGTTTTTATAGACAGATTTCACATAGCCCAAGCAGGTCTCTGTTTCTTGGTGTGGGGAAGGATGATGTTGAAATGATCCTCATGAACCACTTGGCACCACCTGGAGGTTTTGTTTTGTTTATAGTTATGGTCTTCGTTTTGTTTCATAAATTGGCCTCAACTTCAGATCCTCTTGCCTCTGTCTCTGAATGCTGGTTTGTTCCATTGAGTCGGTTATCTTTTAATCCTTCAACAAATTTGCTAGGTTTCTATTTCACATATGAAGAAAAGCAAGCTATGTTGTTTAGAAGAAATTATGTTTAGTACATGGTAAACAAAGGACTCGGACTGTCTATTACATTGTGATAGCTAGTGACCTGGCTTTGTTTTATTTGGCATCCCTCACCTACCTCAGTTTTACCTTTGGTTTTTCTTCTTTGAGAAATGAAAGATAACTATATGGCCTGTCTGACTTGGAACTTGGTCTATAGACCAGGCTAACCTCAAACTCACAGAGACCGCCTGCATCTGCTTCCCCGGTGCTAGGATTAAAGGGGTGTATCACCATGCAAGATTCCTCAGTTTTGCTTTTTATAGCTTTGATAAAGCTTAGGTTTCACTGGTGGTGGCTCACACCTTTATACCCAGCACTTGGGAGGCAGAGGCAAGTGAATCTCTGTGAATTCGATGCCAGCCCTGGTCTACAGAGAGAGTTCTGGGACAGGCTCCGAAGCTACAGAGAAACCCTGTCTTGAAAAACAAAACAAAACAAAAAACATAGGTTTCTCCCAATTATCTTAAATATTCTCATCTTCAGGTATAGCTGATGGTGACTGTCTGGGACCAAGTTGGGAGAGAGAGAGAGAGAAAGTGAATATTGATGTCTGTGCTGTTGCAGCCAACTTCTTGAAGGCAGGAGCAGGATGGTGCCTGGCACAGTCAGTACTGTCGTGAATGATAAATGTGATGTGTAGGTTTTGCTGGGCAGGCAGCATGGCATTTACCAAATTATTTTTCATTTGCAGAAATAGTAAAGGGCGTCGAAATTGAATTTTATGTAAATGAAGGATATAGGATATATTAATTTTTTGTTGTTTCTGTAATAAGCTACCAGAAAATTAGCAGCTCAAAGAAGACAAATTTATCTTAGCATCCTACAATTCAGATGTATGACGTGTCTGTGTTGGCAAAAGTCAAACCTTTGGCAAGGCTGGGTTCTGTTCTGGAGAGTCCTTGCTCATTCAGGTTGTTGGCTTAGTTCCAATAGCTGTAGCTATGGGGCTCCTATTCCTGTCTCTTTGCTAGATGTCATCTGAGGGCTTTTCCCAACTTTACATATCCATATATACATAACAACCACACACACACACACACACACACACACACACGAGGTGGGGGCACTGATTCTTCTTTCTCCTACAAGATAGTAACAGACAGTTGTCCACATTTTTCTTGTGTCCTGTCTTGTTTTGTTTTTCCAAGACAAGGTTTCTCTGTGTAACCAGCCTGACTGTCCTGGAACTCATCTTGTAGACCAGGGTGTCCTAAAACTCACAGAGATCCACCTGCCTCTGCCTCCCCAGTGCTGGGATTGAAGGTGTGTGCGGCTGTGTTGTGTCCTATCTTTCTAAATCTTCTTGTGTCTTCTCATCTTGGATTAATCTAGGAGTCTCCATTGTTAAAGTTGCATGTAATTAGGTTGGGTTCACCTGGATAACAAAAATAACCTTTTCTTCCCTAAGTCTTGACTTTTGTTTTGTTTTTCTCGGTTGGTTGGTTCTTTCTAGGTCTCACTATGTAGTCAAGGCTGGTCTTGAGCTTGCAGCAGTCCCTCTTCTTCAGTCTCCCAACCGCTGGACTTAGAAGCATTTAACACTGTGTCCAGCTGCTGTTAAGTGGTTGTCTAAGGCAAT